ATATGATATCACTCATACGTGGAATCTAATTTAAAAAATGATACAAGGGGCTTCCCTGGTGGCGCAGTGGTTGAGAGTCCGCCTGCCGATGCAGGGGACATGGGTTCGTGCCCCGGTCCGGGAGGATCCTGCATGCCGTGGAGCGGCTGGGCCCGTGAGCCATGGCCGCTGAGCCTGCGCGTCCGGAGCCTGTGCTCCGCAATGGGAGAGGCCACAACAGTGAGAGGCCCGCGTACCGTTAAAAAAAAAAAAAAAAAAAGAGCTTATTTACAAAACAAAAACAGTGTTACAGATATCGAAGACAAACTTATGGTTACCAAACGGGAAACATGGGGTGGGGGAGTGATAAATCAGGAGCTTGGGATTAACTACTATATGTAAGATAGATAACCAACAAGGACCTACTGTGTAGCACAGGGAACACTACTCAATATTCTGTGATAACCTATATGAGAAAAGAATCTGGAAAAGAATGAACATAGGTATACGTATAACTGAATCACTTTGCTGTACACCTGAAACTAACACAACATTGTAGATCAACTATAATCCAATAAAAAATTTTTAAAACTCCGTATGTCTGTATAAAACTATCTGTCTCCTAGGCTTTAAAAAATTTACTTATTTATGTCCTGGAAGAGCCACATGGACTATTGTTAGTCTGTATAAACTCTGGGAAGGAAAATTAATTTCAGTAGTGGCAGTATTGGAATGGCAGAGTGAAGGAAGAGCCAGGTATGCCAGGCACAGGCTCTTACCATCTCAGAGAGAGTCAAGGGCTTTATGAATCAGGAACCAGGTCTGTAAAATTTTTTAAGTTTCCAGGACATTTATAACATCCGCATTTGTTAATTTTATTATCCTATCTCTTTCCCCATAGGCCAGTAGTGAAACCTTTAAGATTAAAAAAAAAAAAAGTCTACATGGTCATACCAAGGGTAGCCGGGAAGGTGGAGCTAGAGAGGTTGGGATGCTCCGGCCCCCTCACAGGTCCCCTCTTCACCTCGTTGACTGGACAACGCCTCCTTCAAGAGGCAGGAAAGCAGTCGTGTCCCAGTGGTTTGTTATAAGGAGGAAATGGAACATCTAGAATAAGGTTCTGAGGAGGCATCTCAGGAAAGGCTTTGAAGCTCAGCAGAGAAGAGCCACCTTTCCTCTCAGAGAAGAAATTTTGGGATCTTAACTCTGGTTTTGTTCATCTTTAAAAGGGAACCATATCAGTGTCCTTCTTATGAGGTTACTGTGATGATGTAAAATGCCGGGCATCGTTCCTAGAACATAGTAAATGCCCCAAATATTATCAGTATTGGCCCTAGAGTCAGTAGAGAGTCGCGTGGCCATAGTCTCAAGAAATTAAATCAGTCCAGAAGTCCAGGGAGAAGCAGAGGTGGCCTCCATGTCCCACCTGGTCAATCATCTCCTTACCTCCGCGTAACCTCAGATGTGGAAACCGAGGTTACAGAGGAGAGGATAACATGTCCAAAGTCATATAGCTAATGACTGAGGTTCAATCCTGGGTCCATTTACCTCCTAAGGCTACGTGCTCAATTCTTCTATACAGTTCTATCTCCTAATGTAAACATGATAAGAAGTGAAAGTTAAGTTCAAATTATTTTTGAAGCTGGAACTAAAAAAAATTATTCCAAAGTCAATTACCTGTATAATTCTAGCTTTTCCTCTATTTTCACACTTAAGGGATAAGAGGTTGTACGAGAGATCATGAACATTTTTTGAATCTCTGGGTTAGCTACCACCCTTCCCCTTTCAGGTCTGATTTTCAATGAATAAAGAACAGGGACTCATCAAAAGTTGCTTAGCAATGAGTGTCCCTGAAAAGTGCTGCTTAGAACAGGAAATGCTTAAGCAATGAATTAAACAGTAACTTGTTGTGTCAGTGTGTGTTCTTAAGGGAAACAGAAAGAAACATGTATTTCTGCCAGAAGTAGGGCCAGGAGGTTATTTTTCCAAATGCTTTAAGAGTTGTGGTTTCATGTAAGATTTACTTTCAAGCTGCCCACAAGTGCTGCAGTTCCAGCTTCCTGCTCTGGGTCTCCCTGAAAAGCCTGAAGGAACTCTGGCACTGAATATGCTCTTGTCCAGAGCCAAGGATTTAACACAATTCTCCCTCATTACTGAGAGACCTGAAACCTCAATTTGCAGGAAGGTGGGAAGGAAAGAAAAGAAGGTGAACAGACCACTGGGGCCCGGTAGAAGAGTGGGTTTCACTTCCTCTCCTGCTAGGCCTTTAGCTTAATTCTTTGTCCAGACAAGGAAAACATACATGCCATTATCTCTGGTTGCTTTAAATTTCCTAAGAGTCTCTGCCAGTTGCTTTGGTTGATGTTTTGAAGCAGTAAAAAAAAAAAGTGGGGGAGGAAGGTGACAAATTCCGCCCAGAATTTTTGCCCTTAACATTCTTCTCTAAATATTCAGGTTACGAAATAGAATATAACGATTATATCTTACATTTATAAAGAAGCAGGATAGCAGAGTGGCTCTGGAATCAGAACTAGATTCCTAGCCAGCTCTTACCAACCAGCTTTGAAACCTTAAACAGGCCATTAATGTGAATATGTAGCTTTTTCACCTGTAAAACGGAGATACTATCAGCCTCATAAAGATTAAAAGAGATAATATATACAAAGTATTTAAAGAGTTATTTTTATTATTGTAACTGTAATGAAACTGTACTCTTATTCTGTTGTATTCTAATAAGGTTCTCCTTTTGAGATCACAGAGTAAGGTTACTTGCCTTATGGGTAGGGGTAGTGTAGGAGTAGTGTCTTCCTTGAAAGGCTGGACATTCTTTTTTTTTTGCGGTATGCGGGCCTCTCACTGTTGTGGCATCTCCCGTTGCGGCGCACAGGCTCCGGACACGCAGGCTCAGCGGCCATGGCTCACGGGCCCAGCCGCTCCGCGGCACATGGGATCTTCCCGGACTGGGGCACGAACCCACGTCCCCTGCATCGGCAGGCGGACTCTCAACCAGTGTGCCACCAGGGAAGCCCCAAGGCCAGACATTCTTGATGTTAATCATCCAGGGAAGGGACGCAGCTTCCATTAGAAAACTGGAATTAGACCAGAGAAGTAACAGCATGCCTCTCATTTTCCTGGGTCTAGAGCCCAAGGAAGCTAGATATGCTTAAGGCTGCTCATGCTTGGTAAGAATTAAAAATGGCAAGGTGGAAATCAGGAAGGGGCCACAAACTTAAGATGAAGCTCTATCATGTAAGTTAGATCACATCAGGCAGGCAGCAGATTCTAGTAGTAACCTGTGTAAGACCTGGAGTCAGACCACCTCCTGGTCGTGTAGCTGAAGCACTGGAAAAGGAAACTCTCCAAGTCGAAGCTGAATCTCAGAAAAGAAGTTGGGGTTTGACCTCTAAGTACTCCTTCCTACATGGAAGTGGGGATTCCTCGCAAGTTCTCTAAAATTTTCAAAGCTTTCAGTTACATCTATTCAGTCTCATGAGAACTCTAAGGCAAGGAGCTTGGACATTGCTATCTCCATTTTCCTAAGTTAACTAAGTTTTAAAGAGATTACACGCCTTGCCTAGGATCATGAGGTCAGTACAGGGCAATGGCTGAGGAAAATCCAGTTTAAAAAAAAAAATTATTCCTAGTCCAAGGAGATGCCAACAATCTCCATACTAGGACAGTAAAGGTGCTGTGAAGATTTTTTACTGTCATTTTGTGTTATTCACACCACTTACCCTTTCCACTTTACCCACACCTTAGGTAAGTGAGTCAGCTGTATTCAGAAGAAACATTTCTGTGTCCCTCATGGGCACAGAACTGATGCCTGTGAGAAGAAATTTAACACTATAAATTCAATCATGCAAAAAGACATAACCTGTACACATCCCTCTGGCCCCACTGATTGGCAGAGTGGGCTTAAATTGTCACTTGGATAACCACTTTTTTTCACTTTGTGGAAAGTTTTCCAGAATCATTACAGACTTTTATGTCTAATCAGCTAATTAGTCAATTGAAAAGTATGTACTAAGCTCATAGTATGTGCCCCAAATTGGGATAGGTACTGTGGGTATACAAAAGGTGCATATATTAGGATCCAGTCTTCAAATCTAATTGGGGGGGAGGAGTTAATTAACATAAATTTTTTTTACTCATCCAAATTTAGAGTGTGTTGCCTTAAATATGCTAGAGATATTATATTAGAGATAAACGTGGCTTGAAATAATCTAGACAATGAAAAGCTTTGTTTCTTAATAAGTCATTGAGAATACTAAATTCTGTTCTAATTTTAAAAATGCACATTATTTTAGACATAAACATTGAAAAGCTGTTCTAGGCACTGCGGATATATGGACAAATAAAGCACTTCCTGTCCTCAAGAGCTTACCGTTTGTTAGGGGGAAACAAGTCACTGAAAATCAACGTGATTTAGGTCTACAGTATGGCTATAGTACCTCAGAGTAACGGGTTGATTAGGGAAAGCTCCAAGGAGTGCATGACCTTTAAGGAGGTCACTGACAACAGGGAGGGGACATATGTGTGTCTGTGGGAGGGTGAATGTTAGAGCAGAGAGAGAGGAGGGAAAGTCATTCCGTAAAAAGGAACTGAAAGCAGCATATGAAAAGGCACAGTAGCAGGCCTGAAGACTAAAGCTGGGGTTTCCCACGTTTATTTCAAAGGCCTTCATCGTCTATATGGAAAGAGGGATCTTTTAAAAACCAATAGCTAGACAATGATGACTATGAAATTTAAATATACATGAGTGCTGATGACTACTTTCCCCTATTTTTCAGCATTAAGACCTTACTGTTCACAATTGTATTCATCTTATGTAAGTATATATCTTCTAATATGAGCCATTTTGTGGATTCAATTGTTTATAGTCAATTTCAGAGAGAATGCTGATCGCAGCACCATGTATCTCCTACAGAAAAAATATTTTAATAAAGAATATTAGTCAGTTTTCTTTAGGGTTTACTGAGGGATTACAGAACCAGAATAATATGAACATAAAAACTCAGTAAAACCATTAAATACCTTTTATTTTGAAGGCTTCTTAATATTTACAGTTTATAATCGATTTTTACATAAAATCAAGTAATTTAAATTAGTACACACATGCATTTAAATAGCATCTAAAACTCGTTTGAAAATATATATTTGTTTGAACCATACCATTAGGCATATTACTCAAAAATCATTTTTAAAAGAAAATATTCTAGTATAGTGAACTTTTCCTTAAAATGAGACGAAAACTTAACATCATGCCACGGCTTCGAAGTTCTAGAAAAGCGAGATTTAAAACTTTCCTTCCCAGTAATTTTAACTGGAGGTCTTGTCAAATTTCACAAGAAATTTCATGTACGTAACAGTGAGCATAAGATGGGCACCTTTCTGTTGCTATGAGAACCTTCTATTTTGTATCAGAAATCGCAGCCTTGACGACGCAGTGTTTGCGCCGATTTTACACATGTTTTTTCTATAGCGATTCCGCTCCTCCAGTAATAACAGTTTAATGGCTCTGGTTTCCTTCCGCGCCGGCCCAATTTTCCGTCCCAGCTCCAGCTCTCGCCCGCCGTGCAGTCCCCGTCTCTGGGAGCGAGCGGCGAGCACTGGACGGGAGAAAACGGGGGGCCAGAGGTGGGGCAGGTCCGGCCTCTCCGCGGGGTGTGGACGGGAAGAAGAGGAGGTGGGATTGCCGGTTGGTTCTGTCACCCCGGAGCCGAGTTCTGCACCCATCTCTCCAATTGCGTTTTAAAATATGCAGTAAAAAAAAAATCGAGCAACGCCACATCCTACAAACTGGAGGGGAGGGGGAGAGCATTGTGTCCCCAAACGGATCATAAACAAGGGAAAGGAGGGGTTCGGAACTTTATTATTAAATACTTCCTCCACGCCAGAAAAACCAGGGCTCAGGCCTCGGTACTAAAGGGATAGGCTGAAGCCCCGGACGCGGCTCAGTGATCGCGGGCGGCGGGTCCGGGCTTCCGGTCTCCCGGGCGCCAGAGGGTCATGGCGGGAAGGGGGAGGGCTCGCGCTCCAAGCTTTCCCTCCCCCACCCACACCCAGGGTCTTCTTCCTTCGGGATTCGGAGCCGCCTATCCTCCAGGGCCGACTAGCCGCAGGGCTGCAGGGGTCCAGGACGCCGCGACATAGCTTAGCGACAGCGCTCTCCCTGGCGACGGCGCCGCAACAAGATGGCGGACGACAGAGACAGGGAAGGCACAGGTAAGAAGCGCCGCAGGAGCGCAGCCCTAGCCGCCCGCCGCGATCCCAGGCCGCACGGGGGAGCTCCGGGCAGGGTCGGTCACCCTACCTCTGGACCCCACCCGCAGGGAGAGGGCTGACCGAGCCAGGTCCCGCCGCCCGCCCTGCCGGGGAGGCCCCCTCCCCTGTTCCTGCCGCCTCGCCCCGCCCCGCCCCTCCGCTCCCGCCCGGCAGTCATTCCGCCCCTCCCGCTCCTCCCGCTTCTCGGTTCCCGCCCGGCCCTGGTTCCGACCCCCTTCCTCGTCCCTTTTTCCGAGCCCCGAGCCTCGCTTCCAGCGCGGGTTGTGGCTGAGGCGCTGGCAGGGGAGGGCCATAATGGCGTCCTTGTTCACGGTCTCGGGGACGTCGCCTCCAATCCCTCGCCCGGGCTCTGGTTGCCGCAGGCGCCACGCCGGCAGCTTCTCGGGCTGTGGGCCCCGGGGCGGGCCTGCGTGAGGACCGATCCGGCCTTTAGAGTCTGGCGGGCTCCTCCCCTGCCGCGCCGAAACCCCGCCCGGGCCAGCGGGCTGGCGTTCGCGGCCACCATTTTGACTCCGTAATGGAGACGTAGGAGGACAACCTGGAGGACAGTACCTCTCTCTCCGAGCCTCCAGGTTCCGAAGTGCCTGCTCGGTGGCCGGCGCTATGCTACCCGCCTGGTGTATTGTCTTAAACGAAAAAACAAAAAACAACTTTAATAAAGACGAAAGAGCAAACTCCAGAGGGAACTCGTAGAGCCCTGTGCGCCGGCCTGGCCTCTGCTGCGGTACCAGCCGGGCCAGCGCGCGCGGTCGCGGCGTCAGAGGCGGGTCTGGGCCTCGGGGCTCCGGGTCGCCATATCGGGGGGATTGATGTGCTTAATGTGTGGGGAGGCGAAAACCCGGTTATCCATGTTTACTTGCAAGACCGTTACGTTGTTTTAATTCGGCGGTTTGCTTAAAAACTTGATCCTTAGTTAACTATCCTACGTTAGTTACTCAAAAATAATTGTTTATTTTGGTAATTGGCAAACTCATCGCAAAAACATCAAAAAGGCCATGAAACTGTAGAGGTAAACATCTTAGAAATGAAAATAATACTCCACCTTTGTTCTTTTCTTGAGTGCTTGAAACATCAACATACCATTTTTCTCAGCATGGAACAAAGATGTAATCAGGTTAACAGTATTAACAAGTGTAGAAGCCAGCCCTAGATACTTAGTCACTTGTCACGGTGATCACAGAAAATCAGCGGAGAAACTGCAAAAGAGCTACCTACTGATAGCAATAATATTTGATTTTTTTTATGGTGCCGTTAATCTAAAAGTCAGACGTATTTTTTAAATGTTACCTTTCCTAAGATGTCATTATAATTTTATCGTGCTGCTTTAAAAGTATAAGGTACATCCTAAGAAAATGATTACTTTTTTTGGTATTAGTTTTAAAACTTCCCCAGAAAACCAGATGACTTATTTTGATTTATTAAATTATTATTTACAAAAAAATGGAAGAATCATTAGAAGATAATTTTAACAAGTTAATCGTGGATTTTTAAAAAAGATGATTAGGTCAGCCTGAGGAAAAAAAGCTCTGTATTATGAGGCAAATACAATTATTTTTCTTCATTTGAAAAAAGTAGATTGAAAGCTGTTTTGATTTCTCAGTTTTCAAAAATACGTTTCTATTTAAAATAAGCTAATTCAAAGAAGAAACAATTCTGTCTATAGCCATAGAAGAAGTAATGACTGTTAAAAGCTGGATGTCATTCATTCAGTTGGCATGTGTTTAATGCCTACCATATGGAAGGCATTCTGATTAGGTTAGAACTTCGGAGGATACAAATACTGAAAAAAATATTTTTTTCTCCCAAGGAAGGTGAGATCAGTAAGGGAGATAAGACATCCATAAATGGGAGGGAACGGTCAGCTGGACTGAGCAGTCTGTCCCCTCCTGCTGTGGGCAGCAGCCTGGTATCACTGGGAGCTTATCAGAAAGGAAGGAGCTCAGTCCCTGCCCCTGACCTACTGAATCAGAGTCTGCATTTAAGCACACCTGCAGGTCATCCACATGCACATTAAAGTTTGAGAAGCACTGTTGTATATCTCATTTACTCCTTATTTTTTGTTTGTTTTCTTTGAATTTTATTTTATTTTTTTATACAGCAGGTTCTTATTAGTTATCTATTTTATACATATTAGTATATATATGTGAATCCCAATCTCCCAATTCATCCCTCCCCCCACCCTCGCTTTTCCCCCTTGGTGTCCATATGTTTGTTCTTTACATCCATGTCTCTATTTCTGCCTTGCAAACCAGTTCATCTGTACCACTTTTCTAGATTCCACATACATTCATTAATATATGATACTTGTTTTTCTTTTTCTGACTTAACTCTGCATGACAGTCAGTAGGTCCATCCACGTCTCTACAAATGACCCAATATCGTTCCTTTTTATGGCTGAGTAATATTCTGTTGTATACATGTACCACATCTTCTTTATCCATTTGTCTGTCGATGGGCATTTAGGTTGCTTCCATGACCTGGCTATTGTAAATAGTGCTGCAATGAACATTGGGGTTCATGTGTCTTTTTGAATTATTGTTTTCTCTGGGTATATGCCCAATCGTAGGATTGCTGGGTCATATGGTAATTCTGTTTCTAGTTTTTTAAGGAGCCTCCATACTGTCCATGGTGGCTGTATCAATTTACATTCCCACCAACAGAGCAAGAGGGTTCCCTTTTCTCCACACCCTCTCCAGCATTTGTTGTTTGTAGATATTCTGATGATGCCCATTCTAACTGGTGTGAGGTGATACCTCATTGTAGTTTTGATTTGCATTTCTCTGATAATTAGTGATGTTGAGCAGCTGTTCATGTGCCTCTTGGCCATCTGTATGTGTTCTTTGGAAAAATGTCTATTTAGGTCTTCTGCACATTTTTTTGAATGGGTTGTTGTTTTACTGTTGAGCTTCATGAGCTGTTTATATATTTTGGAGATTAATCCTTTGTCCGTTGATTCGTTTGCAAATATTTTCTCCCATTCTGAGGGTTGTCTTTTCGTCTTGTTTGTGGTTTCCTTTGCTGTGCAAAAGCCTGTAAATTTCATTAGGTCCCATTTGTTTAGTTTTGTCTTTATTTCCATTTCTCTAGGAGGTGGGTCAAAAACGATCTTGCTGTGATTTATGTCAAAGAGTGTTCTTCCTATGTTTTCCTCTAAGAGTTTTATAGTGTCTGGTCTTACATTTAGGTCTTTAATCCATTTTGAGTTTATTTATGTGTATGGTGTTAGGAAGTGTTCTGATTTCATTCTTTTACATGTAGCTGTTCAGTTTTCCCAGCACCACTTATTGAAGAGACTGTCTTATCTCCATTGTATATCCTTGCCTCCTTTGTCATAGATTAGTTGACCATAGGTGCGTGGGTTCATCTCCAGGCTTTCTATCCTGTTTCATTGATCTATATTTCTGTTTTTGTGCCAGTACCATATTGTCTTGATTATTGTAGCTTTGTAGTATAGTCTGAAGTCTGGGAGCCTGATTCCTCCCACCCCGTTTTGTCCCCTCAAGACTGCTTTGGCTATTCAGAGGCTTTTGTGTCTCCATACAAATTTTAAGAATTTTTGTTCTGGTTCTGTAAAAAATGCCATTGGTAATTTGATAGGGATTGCACTGAGTCTGTAGATTGCTTTGGGTAGTACAGTCATTTTCACAATGTTGATTCTTCCAATCCAAGAACATGGTATATCTCTCCATCTGTTTGTATCATCTTTGATTTCTTTCATCAGTGTCTTACAGTTTTCTGCATACAGGTCTTTTGTCTCCTTAGGTAGGTTTATTCCTAGGTATTTTATTCTTTTCGTTGCAGTGGTAAATTGGAGTGCTTAATTTCTCTTTCAGATTTTTTGTTCTTAGTGTATAGGAATGAAAGAGATTTCTGTGCAGTAATTTTGTATCCTGCAACTTTACCAAATTCATTGATTAGCTCTAGAAGTTTTCTGGTGGCATTTTTAGGAATATCTATGTATAGTATCATGTCATCTGCAAACAGTGACAGTTTTACTTCTTTTCCAATTTGTATTCCTTTTATTTATTTATTTTTCTCTGATTGCCGTGGCTGGGACTTCCAAAACTATGTTGAATAATAGTGGCAAGAGTGGACATCCTTGTCTTGTTCCTGATCTTAGAGGAAATGCTTTCAGTTTTTCACCACTGAGAATGATGTTTGCTGTGGGTTTTGTTGTATATGGCCTTTAGTATGTTGAGGTAGGTTCCCTCTATGTCCACTTTCTGGAGTGTTTTTATCATAAGTGGGTGTTGAATATTGTCAAAAGCTTTTTCTGCATCTATTGAGACGATCATATGGTTTTTAATTCTTCAATTTGTTAATATGTTGTTTCACGGAGATTGATTTGTGTATATTGAAGAATCCTTGCATCCCTGGGATAAATCCCACTTGATCATGGTGTATGATCCTTTAAATGTGCTATTGGATTCTGTTTGCTAGTATTTTGTTGAGGATTTTTGCATCTATATTTATCAGTGACATTGGTCTGTAATTTTATTTTTTTGTAGTATCTTTGTCTGGTTTTGGTATCAGGGTGATGGTGGCCTCGTAGAGTGAGTTTGGGAGTGTTCCTTCCTCTGCAATATTTTGGAAGAGTTTCAGAAGGGTGGTGTTAGCTCTTCTCCAAATGTTTGATAGAACCTGTGAAGCCATCTGGTCCTGGACTTTTGTTTGTTGGAAGATTTTTAATCACAGTTTCAATTTTAGTGCTTGTGATTGGTCTGTTCATATTTTCTATTCCTTCCTGGTTCAGGCTTTGATGGTTATACCTTTCTAAGAATTTGTCCATTTCTTCCAGGTTTTCCATTTTATTGGCATAGAGCTGCTTATAGTAGTTTCTTATGATGCTTTGTATTTCTGTGGTGTCCATTGTAACTTCTTTTTCATTTCTAATTTCATTGATTTGAGTCCTGTCCCTCCTTTTCTTGATGAGTCTGGCTAAAGGTTTATCAATTTTGTTTATCTTCTCAAAGAACTAGCTTTTAGTTTTATTGATCTTTGCTATTGTTTTCTTTGTTTCTATTTCATTTGTTTCTGCAATGATCTTTATGATTTCTTTCCTTCTACTAACTTTGGGTTTTGTTTGTTCTTCATTCTACTTCCTTTAGGTATAAGGTTAGATGGCTTATTTGAGATTTTTCTTGTTTCTTGAGGTAGGCTTGTATTGCTGTAACTTCCCTCTTAGAACTGCTTTTGCTGCATCCCATAGGTTTTGGATCGTAGTGTTTCATTGTCATTTGTTTCTAGGTAGTTTTTGATTTCCTCTTTGATTTCTTCAGTGATCTTTTGGTTATTTAGTAATGTATTGTTTAGCCTCCATGTGCTTGTGTTTCTTACGTTTTTTTTTTTTTTCTGTGTAATTGATTTCTAATCTCATAACATTGTGGTCTGAAAAGATGCTTGCTATGATTTCAGTTTTCTTAAATTTACTGAGGGTTGATTTGTGACCTCAGATGTGATCTATCCTAGATAATGTTCCATGTGCACTTGAGAAAAAAGTGTAATCTGCTCTTTCCAGATGGAATGTCCTATGAATATCAATTAAATCTGTCTGGTTTGTTGTGTCGTTTAAAGTTTGTGTTCCCTTATTAATTTTCTGTTTGGATGATCTGTCCATTGGTGTAAGTGAGGTGTTAAAGTCCCCCACAATTACTGTGTTACTGTTGATTTCCTCTTTTATGGCTGTTAGCAGTTGTCTTATGTATTGAGGTGCTCCAATGTTGGGTGCATATATTTTTATAATTGTTATATCTTCTTGGATTGATCCCTTGATCATTATGTAGTGTCCTTCCTTGTCTCTTGTAACATTCTTCATTTTAAAGTCTATTTTTCTGATATTAGTATTGCTACTCCAGCTTTCTTTGATTTCCATTTACATGGAATAATTTTTTCCAGCCCCTCACTTCCAGTCTGTGTGTCTCTAGGTCTGAAGTGGGTCTCTTGTAGACAGCATATATACGGCTCTTGTTTCTGTATCCATTCAGCGAGCCTCTGTCTTTTGGTTGGAGCATTTAAGCCATTCACATTTAAGGTAATTAATCGATATGTGTGTTCCTATTACCATTTTCTTAATTGTTTTGGGGTTTTTTTGTATGTCCTTTTTTTCTCTTGTGTTTCTCACTTAGAGAAGTTTCTTTAGCATTCATCACAGAGCTGGTTTGGTGGTGCTGAATTCTCTTAGCTTTTGTTTGTCTGTAAATCTTTGATTTCTCTGTCAAATGAATGAGATCCTTGCTGGGTAGAGAAACCTTGGTTGTAGTTTCTTCCCTTTCATCATGTTAAATATATCATGCCACTCCCTTCTGGTTTGTAGAGGTTTTGCTGAGAAATCAGCTGTTAACCTTATGGGAGTTCTCTTATATGTTATTTCTTGTTTTTCCCTTGTTGCTTCTAATAATTTTTCTTTGTCTTTAATTTTTGTCAATTTGATTACTGTGTGCCTTGGAGTGTTTCTCCTTGGGTTTATTCTTCCTGGGACTCTTTGCACTTCCTGGACTTGGGTGGCTATTTCCTTTTCTATGTTAGGGAAGTTTTCGACTATAATCACTTCAAATATTTTCTTGGGTCCTTTCTCTCTCTCCTCTCCTGAGACCACCATAATGCGAATGTTGTTGCGTTTAATGTTGTCCCACAGGTCTTTTAGGCTTTCTTCATTTCTTTTCATACTTTTTTCTTTATTGTGTTCTGTGGCAGTGCTTTCCACCATTCT